TGATTCTTTAGTTCGATGGAAATGAAAAAGAACGTGCTCTACTCTTTGTCTCTTTCTCCCTTTATTTATTTAATTTAATAGAAGGGCATTTTAGTAAATTTTACCTTAAGTTAAAGCTAAAAGGTAAAATCCCACTCTCGGCCTCACAAAAATTCAAATTTAGGACCTATCACTAATGTAATTTGCATGAAGTCCACTATGTCACAATTTCTTCTTGATATATTTGCTCTAAAAATAATAAAAATAAACTTTAAATACCTTTTAATAATTTAATTAATAAAAATTATTTTTTTATTAATATTTTTTTATTTTTTTCTGGTCATTACAATAACGAGAGACCAAAAAGGAACTAGAAGGAAAGAGCAGAACAAGCCAATACTTGAATTGAGTTCATGAGTGTTTTGTCTTTGCTCATGGAAGGGGGAGGGGTATGCGCAAACCACACTGCTGATCACATGGCCTTTCCACATGACCCATAAGAGTGAAAGAATCAGTTTATCCCCACACCAAGATGCCTTGAGGAGAGACCAGGGCAACTGAGGCATTTTTCATAATCACCGCTTGAAATCCCTCTAAGGACTTCTTAGAAGCCCCCAACTTCTTGAGCACTTGATGAGTTAGGGGTGGGATTGAGCTGATGAGGGAGATCATTTTAGGGCGTTCAGTAAAAGCAAGGCCTTAAACTTCAAGCTTTAACTCACCACTCAGGACTGTGGTGAAAGCCCCTCCTTGGTTAATTGCATCCCCGATGTCTTTCGGACCGACAACACCACCTAAGGCTGCAATAGACATAGCAGCCCCCAGAGCTTTAGCATGCTCCGTCATCTCCCAGGTTACTTCCTGAGCAACTTCAACTGGGTCCACGGGTGTTAGCTCAAGATTAGTAGAGGTAAGGGAAGTAACTACTTGAGGATCTGGGAGCTGGATCTCCTTTTCCCCATGTTGAAGAGGACTCACTTTACTGTCGTCAGAATCTGTAGATAGGATTATCGTCCATTGGTGCTTGTGCTTGCACTTACCCTTTTAGGGAGTGGGGCCAATTAGGAGTGAAGTAGAGGAAGGTTGGTTGAGGGGAGGAGGCATTGTCTTCTTCCTCCTCTTAGCATCAAGTGAAGGAGATAGAGCTCGCTTCCTCTTGTCAGGATCATCTTCTTTGTTGGGATGACTTAAGGAGATCTTCCTAGCCCTAGGTTTCCTGGAGACCGAGGGGGTAGATACTTGGGATGAGGCATCATCTTACTTCATCCCTTAGACCACAGTGCTCAGTGAGGGGGACGTTTGGGTCTTAACAGCTATGGGGGCGTCAATATATCCTTTTAGGAATGTCATCAGCATGTGAGATTGCATCCAATCACAGCCTATAAGAATAGAGATAGGATTAGATTAGGGTATGAGATTAAAGAAAGAAAACTAAGAAAAATATAGGAGGTGATAATTACTGGTATGGCTTTTTATTATGTGCCTAAAGTATTAGGGCCACCATTTATTGAAGTAGAGGCAGGTATCTCTATCTACAAGTTTTATCTTACACTACCTCTGAGTGGTGTGTAGAATGGCTATCTGGTTGATAGCTTCCCTATCTAGTAGCTCCACACTAATTTGGGGGACAAGCCCCGAAGGATGCACTAGCTTAGTCTAAACTGGCCCGCTACTAGTTAAGGATGATAGGACTCCAAGTAGAACCTCAGAGACTTGGAGAAAGAGCCAGTGTACGGCAGCCACATCTTCCTGGGTGTAGTGGCCGAGAGGAAAACCTCATCCCTTAGTAGCTTAGCAAGCTTATTCTTATGTTCCACCATGTGCTTGTACTAGGTGGGGAGGCGACGGTTTGGAATGTTAAAGGCCTTCAAGGTCCTCCCTAAGGACTAGCTTTACTGACTAAAGAACTCAAAAAAGTTCTTCGAGTCAGTCAATAAATGACCACCCAAGAGACAAGTGAAGGGGTGGTTAGCACGAAAATCATCTGGGAAAGGCTCCTAGCATAGAAGTGGGAAGTAGCCCATCGTCCATGGCTTTAGAAATTAGACAGGCCCATAGAAGCTGCTGAAAGGTTTCTTTATCAGTAACTCCTTCATACCGTCATAAAGATAGTATAGAAACATCATCCTCAAGGCTATTTGGTTACCGCAGAGTAAGGACTAGGTGATTCATAAGTGTAGCTGCACGAGCTTCCCTCCCCCTAAGGCCAAGATCTATTAGCTCAATAGGATCGATATGAAGACCAAATGCTCTATGGCAATGACAGGCTCAATGGCTGGCTTCTCAAAGAATAACCCATAATCTTTATGTAGGAGCCTGCACTCTTAATCTTGCTCTCGAAATCAATAGGGAGGGCGGTATAGGAGTCATACTTCTTAAGGATTGTGTAGAAGTTCTCCTCCCTGGTGATGGGTAACCTTAGGAACATGAAGATGTCCCATAGCGTGAGGGACATAAGACTGAGCTCGAAGATGAAGGCATTGTAGCTCAAAGCCCAGAAGCTTAGGAGGATCATCAGAAGCTCAACAGGGACGTTGATGTTAGTTATGGATAGTTGGATTAGGTCATATAGACCCATCTCTCACCCAATTAACCCAAGCACGAGGAGACCAGGGCCAATTCTTGAGTTTTCTACAAGATGACTCGAGGAAGGGTAAAGTCGTCTAGGCCAAGACCAAGTTGCTAATAGAGGTTAATGGCCATGGATTTGGCTGAGTAAGGGCTATGACTTTGGACAAGTTGGGAGAGATGGTTAGGTACCTGACATCACTTTTATTGGAGATTTGAAAGCTCTAAGGAGAAGTACTAGAAAAGAAAAACAAAGCATAGTTAATATACTTCTCCAATAAAATAGAAGGGCTAAACATGAGAGGCAAGAAACTTACCAGAAATCCACCGATTCGTGGAATGAAAAATCCTCCTGTAAAGAAATAAACAACTATTAGAATGGGGAACCAATCTAAAGGAAAAAAAGGTTTTCAAAACACTGAATGCATATTGTCACAAACTCGCCGAATGTGGTAACGGGATTTCAGATAGTTGCTAAAGAATCAGGTAAACTCCCAGTGGAGGTGAAAGATGGAGCAACAATAAAGGAAGCAGTAGAAGTAGAGGAAGCCATTTGAGAGCAAAGGTAAGAGGAATATAGGAGAGTGAATACTTGAAGTTCAAGAAACGATAGAAAGAGCAAGAGAAGTAATCAGAAAAAAGAAATGAGTTTATATCAACAAAGGGTGCTCAGAAATGAAGCAACGTTTTAGTTTTCTAAAATGTGCCACATGGCTTACATTACCATCCATTAGCATGCGGGGCAATGTTTGGGCTAACTATGAAATGTCGCTTAAATAAGTCACATAACTAGTTGAGTTGAGTAATTGAAGCGTCAAGCCCAATATAAATGAAAGGGGCCAGTCCTAAGGCTCAATAAAGGCCACAATAAGTTAACATGTTACAATCTTATCAGCTAAAAGTATTAGATCGTTGGCACGAAGATATGGTCTTAAGTAATGTTGGAATCTATGCCCAAGTATCTCAATAAAATAGGTTGGTTACTAAAATGGAGAATATGGAATAAAGATCGTGCTATGAGTTTTGCACGATCCTTGATCCTTCAGAAAAACATGTTAGGTTTCAAGGAGGAGGCTACCACTACTCTGACACTATAAATAGAAGAAAAAAATACAAAAGAAACTAGTCAACACTCAATTAAAAACTCACAATTTTAAATTCCTTAGCCTTTTTTAGTTTTAAGTTGTAGGTCTGTAATCTTTTCACATTTCAATAACAATTGAACACTTGTTCTACTAAAGCCTTATATCTTTTTACATCCGAGTAAACTGTGGTAAGGGAGGTCAGGACCCTTTTGTTATCAATTAAGACTCAGCGTCTCTAGTATGCCTGGTTTTTGTTGTTCAACCATGAACAATGGCTTTAATTTACAAGAAGAATCATACGTAGAAGAAAGAGATTGGCAGAAAAAAGAAGTAATAGAGATGCTCTTGAAATTAGCAAATCCTGTGGATTAGCTTGAGCGCATTGATACCTTACAAAGACTTGGAGTGGATCATCATTTTGACCTTGAAATAAGAAACATCATAGAAAGTATTGACAAGAACAAGGACACATTAAAGTGGAAGAACAACGATTTATATGTCACAGCTCTTGAATTCAAACTTTTAAGACAACACGACTATATTGTGTCATCAGGTATATCTTTATTTTATACTGCTTAAATTACTAGGATACTTGTCTCAAACATTAAACAATGTTTTGATTGTTTGTAGATGTTTTTAAAGGATTTCAATATGATAAGGGAAACTTTCATTCTGGCCATTCAATTGACATCAAGGGAATGCTTTCATTATATGAAGCTTCATTTCTGTCAATGGAAGGTGAAATAATTCTAGATGAAGCTAGAGATTTTAGCTCAACTTATCTCAAAGAATTTGTCTATCATAACAAGGAAGAGAATGAGACATCAATCTTAGTTAATCATGCTCTAAAGATTCCTCTACATTGGAGGATATCGAGATTGGAAGCTTCATAGTTCATCGATGTTTATGAAAGAAGACAGACTATAAACCCTTCCTTGCTTAAGCTTGCTAAATTAGATTTCAACATTTTGCAAGCCAAATACCAAGAAGATTTGAAACATGCATTAAGGTATATGTTTGTGTGTCTAGATAGATATATGTGTGCGTGAAAATAGTCATACTTTTGTTCCACTTGAAGCCTTTCACTTAGTTTTAGTTATCTTACAACATTTGCATGTTTTTATATATACCTTGATTAAGCTTGCAAAAATTTAAAAATTTACTAATTTCCACTAAGCTATTGTTTTTCATGGATTTTTAATGTAAAGATGGTGGAAAAGAATTGGCCTTAGAGAAAAGTTGAGCTTTGCAAGGGATAGGATGGTGGAGAACTTCATTTGGACAGTACCATCTGCTGAGGAACACCACTATGGATATTATAGACGAGTAGGAGCAAAGGTTAATGCACTGATTACAACATAGACATCATCAATTGATGATATGTATGATGTCTAATTCACCATAGACATCATACATATCATCAATTGTTGTAATCAATGCATTAACCTTTGCTCCCACTCGTCTATAATATCCAAATTGTGGTTCCTCAGCAAATGCCACTGTCCAAATGAAGTTCTCCACCATCCTATCCCTTGCAAAGCTCAACTTTTCTCCAAGTCCAATTCTTTTCCACCATCTTTAAATTAAAAATCCATGAAAAACAATAGCTTAGTGGAAATTCTTAGAATTTTAAATTTTAGACAACTTAAGCAAGGCATATACAAAAACATGCAAATGTTGTAAGATAACTAAAACTAGTGAGAGGTTCCAAATGGAAGGAAAAAGAAAGCAAGAAAGCATGACTATTTTCATACATACATATATGTATCTAGACAAACACACACACCCACATTGATGCATACTTCAAATCTTCTTGGTATTTGGCTTGTAATATGTTGAAATCCAATTTAGCAAGTCTAAGCAAGGCGGGGTTCATATTCTGTTTTCTTTCATAAACATCGATGAACCATCGAGCATCCAATCTCGATATCCTCTGATGTAGAGGAAGCTCTAGGGCATGATTAACTAAGAGTGATGTCTCATTGTCTTCCTTGTTATGATAGACAAATTCTGTGAGATAATTTGAGCTAAAAGCTCTAGCTTCATCCAGAATTATTTCACCTTCCATTGACAGAAATGAAGCTTCATATAATGAAAGCATCCCCTTAATACCAACCAAATGGCCAGAATGGAAGTTTCCCTTATTATCTTGAAATCCTTTAAAAACACCTGCAAACAATCGAAACATTGTTTAATGGTTGAGACAAGTATCCTTGTAATTTTAGTAGAATATATATATATATATATATATACCTGATGATACAATATAGCCGTGTTGTCTTAAGAGTCTGAATTCAAGAGCTGTGACATATAAATTGTTGTTCTTCCCCTTTAACGTGTCCTTGTTGTTGTAAATACTTTCTATGATATTGCTTATTTCAAGGCCAAAATGACGATCCACTCCAAGTCTTTGTATGGTATCAATGAGCTCAAGTTGATCCACAGGATTTGCCAATTTCGAGAACATCTCTCTCACTTCTTCTTTCAGCCAATCACTTTCTTCTACATAAGATTCTTCCTGTAACAATTTCACATGAAACAAGGAAATATTATTATGATGACAAGCCAATCAGTGAATGAGAATGTGAAATAAATTAAATCATACCATAAAATGACTTGTTAATGACCGGATGTAATCGTGGTGCCAAATTAAAGGTTGGAAGTAATTTGCAGATCGACGAGTAGTATTGTTTTGATCAGAAGAGATCACCGAAGAAGTCTTGCATTGAATTGCAAAGGGAACACAAGAACTTTTGATTGTTGAAAGTGATGGAACCATTTTCTTTGTTAATAGAATAGTGCTTGAAAATAAGGTAAATTGACTGAGAGCCATTGGCTTGGTTCGAGTGAGAAAAATCTTACCCTTGATTCTTCCTCTTTCTTTCTTACCTTGTAATGTTTTGTGGCTAGTGGAAGCCATTGCTCTCTATTTATATTGGGTATACATCTTTTTTATGTTTACTACAAAAATATTTTGGGCAAATCCTCTTAGATCCCACGTCATTAAGTAATAATCTAAATATAGAAAAGCTCCATGAAATCACAAAATTTCTTTGAAATCCTATCTCATTTACTGAAATTGTTAATTTGTTATATTAAATTTGTCAATTACTATTATTTGCAGTATTTTAAAAACTAGACCGATTGTTAAGTTAATTAAGATGTCAATTCATGGTTCACTAGTCAAACTTTGGTTCAACCATATGGTCGAATTGGTTATAATAAAAAATATAATTCAATTGAATATTACTTAATTATAACTAAAAATAGTATACCAAAAATACATTTTCAATTAGTTCATTATAATAAAATTAAATAGTAATTAAAATAGTTTGACATTGCAATAATATGTGTGTAATATAATTAATGACTTAATACTAAAATATTTAGTTTTATATACTTAAAGCAATTGTTTTAAATTAAATCAATATATGTAAATCATTTATATATTATTTATTCTATAACAAATTCTTATTATTAATATTATCAACAAATTAAAATTCACTTGCTTTTCTTTGATAAGATAAAATTATATTAAAGATATAAGGTTAAGTATTTAAGTATTTCCCTTTCAAGTATACTAATATATTTTATATGTGAAGATAATATATTTGTAAAGAATATAAAGAAAATATTATAATACAAAAACAAAGTAAAATGTTTTATTAAAAATAATAAGAGGAGTACTTGAAAATCCTAAAGCCTCTCTATAAAGGCCTGTGAATTTCTTCCCACGGCCTATTTGAATTTTCCTTGCATTGCACATGTCTCATCATTGGTTATTAGTGGTGTTGATTAGTTCACAACTAAAACAATAATAATTAATAATTACTCCTTAGATATTGAGACTCTAAGTGGATGACTTTACACATTTCAGTTCTCACACGATGAATTTTGATTAGGTATTTGTTAGAAGAGTTGTCGGCATGAAAAAGATAGCTGTAAATGCAATTGTCAAATTTGCTACGATGTAGTTTAAAATGTACTATATTGAAATTGTCAATTTCAGCTTACGTGGTCTGTTGTTCTTCGATCAATAACCCACGTAGGATTAGCTTCACATATGAAAGCAATATTAAAGATATATGCAAGGTGCAAAGATTTATGTTTAATACTTTTTCTGCTCAAGGCAATCCTTGACAAAGTGCCCCTTCGTTTAGCTAGCATGGCATTTGACCTTCGCTAATTCAAATTTCTTTGAAGATTTCTTGCCTTTCTCAAATGCCTTGCTCGGCTTTTTCAGCCTTTCGACATTGAAGCCTCAATTCCCCAAGTTAAGTGGCTGATGGATTTCACAGCTTCCAGCCTTTCCTCCTTAAGTTCTATGTGCCTAGCCACATCATTGAAGGTCAAAATGTGTTTTCTGTGATTAAGTTTATTTTCATGTGTTCTTAGCTAGCTGAGAGTGCCCTTATCATAGCTTGTACTCGTTGTTTGTAAGAAAGAACATGCCTTGCCTGTTTCAATTCTCTAATCATGTTTCAATTTTCTTAAGTGTTGCCTAATTGAAATATTAAGCTTTAGATTATATGTGTCAAATTTGATCGTGAGTTTCCTCTGCTTTATGGCAGAGGTGCTGCACAAACTTATCTTTTAGGGCTATCCACATATCTTGAGCAGTTGAATGATGTTTATATTCAGATATAATATCATCAACCATTTCACTAAGCATAGTAATGCGAGTAATAATATTCTTTTCTTTTCTAGGTAGCATCAGCTTCCTAGTCCTTTGATTTCCATTTTCTAGTTTTGAAATTATAGTTGACATGAGGTCCTTGACATCTTGTCCCTCCAAGAAATAGGAGATTTTACAGTACCATTTAATGTAATTATCTCCTGCGAGCTTATATCCCTTATATTAATCTCTTCAATTATGGATTTGGTTCCCATTTAACTCATAACTCAATCACATAGACAATTGTGAATTATTATGTTGGCATACAATGTGGTTACTTATTCAATTGACACCTTAGCTAATTGGATGACAATTTTAATTTAATCAAATAAAATATCTGAAAATATAAATAAGGTCAAATCAAAGTCTTATCAAATATAGGTGTTGAAATCTCTACCCAACAACCCACCTTGACAGGACTACCAGAGCCCGTTCTACAGTGCATAGAAGATGCACCATTGAAAGAGAGGGAGTGGAGAACAGATGCTGAGAAGAGGTACTCGTTTTGGAGTAAGTTTTGCTTCAGCCAACCTTCACTATTTACAGTGCAGGAGGCTGCCACAGAAAAAGAAATTTCAATAATCATAAATTACTCTTGTAATAGAGAAAATTATCGTAGTGGAATATTTCACATTAATGCAAAGATAAACTTTCTTAGTTGGATTCAACCAAGAATTAATCAAGTAAACTCTCATTAAACTAGAATATATGAAATTGTTATTCATCAATATGATATAATTACTCATTAATATATTGATTCCTATTAAAGATTTATATGTAATTCCAACATGAATGATATCATTATAGTTGGTAATTTATGAAGTTTCCTGGAAAAGAACTTGACTAGCTTGAAACGAAGATTTTAAAAACGAGACTGGCTATTGAATCAGGCTAAACATTGATTTAAGGTTCAATAGTCAGAACATGGCTGAACTAGTTTTTATTAATTTAATATATTTTAATTATATATAAACTATTTTAAATAAAAATAAAAACAAAAATTGATAAAAAAAATTGGTTCCAAATAGAAATGATAATAAAATTAATTAAGAAATGAAGTAGGTACATTAAAAATTAAAATTGGTATGAAATTAAGTATAAAAAATAAAATGCAATTGATAAATTTCTAGTATAAAAGTTAAAATAAATTTATAGATTCAGATAACGAAAAATAAAGATATATCCTGATAAAAATGTGAATAAAAATATATAATTTAAAAGGTTGCAAATTATTAATTAGTAAATAATAATATAACTAGAAAAAAATATAATACCAAAATTATAATGCATCTAGAAAAATATGGGATAGGACTGAGGAGGCTTCAGTTTCAATAGGAATAAAATTGTGTTAACCGAAGGAAGGCATAAAGCGTTCCCGTGCTTCGCGTGATTAAAAAAAGGCTTAACGAAATTGGCAGCATCTCTTTCTCCTAAGCAAATCCATAGAGATGATAGCAAATTGAGTAATATGGGGGCAAAAAAGGCAAATTACATAAAGGTTCTATGGAGCATACTTATTCATAAATAAGTCTCCTAAAATTTAAAAACTACAGCCAGATTCCTTAGAACTTGAATATAATTTGAATTTTGAGTACAAAGGCATTATTGTCCCTATTAAAAATAATTGTTGATCAAGGAACAATAAGTTATTAGGCGTGTTAGAGACGTTGAGTCTCAATTGATAACAAAATAATTTTCAAACTCCCTTACCACAATTCACCTGAATGTAAAAGATACACAAGACTTGATAGAACAAGCATTTGATTATTATTAAAAAGTAAAACGATTACAAGTTTAAGCTGAAGATAAAACTAATTGATAAACCCAAGAACTATGGGTGCAAAATGTAAGTCTTTTGAGTGTTGACTGTTATCTTCTTCTACGCTTTGGTACTCTATTTATATTGACAGAGTGATGGTAACCTCTTCCTTAGAACTTAGAATGTTCTTCTGAAGAATCATGGATCCTATGAAACTCATAGCATGGTCTTCACTCATTGTCTTCCATTTTTGATAACTAGCCCATCTCGTCGAGATACTTGGGCACGATGATACTGTTCCCGTGAGATTCGAGATCATTTGAGATTGTGTCTTTATGTACCAATAGTTTACAGAATGGGTTTGCAACTGGCAAGATCTCAACATGCTCATCTAACCGTGGCTTCTATTGAGCTCAAGGCCGGCCCCTTTGTTCAAATTGTTGCTTGAGCCTAACTCTTCGGTCACTTAGTCCATATAACTTTATAACCTATCCAATACTTTGACAAGCGATGTTTCATATTTAGCCCAAACAATAATAAAGTTATAGTTATAAAATATTGAGATGTGAGTTGTAAATCATTGATGTAGTAGTTGTAAACAATTAGTGTTAACCTTTGTTAGCAGCGCATGATCAGTTTAATTATTAAATATGTGGAGTTATTATTGTAAAATATCAAAGTGATAGTCGTAAATTATTGATGACGTAGTTGTATATAATTAATATCAAATTTATAATGTATAATCAATTTAACTATTAGATATCTGAAGTTACAATTATAAAAGTTGAAATGATAGTTGTAAATTACTAATAAAGTAATTGTAAATTATTTAATTTATTTTTAATAGGAGCATTATTGTCTTTGCACTCCAATTTCAAAATACACTTAAATTCTAAGAGATCTGGCTATGGTTTTTGAATTGTGTGGAACTTACTTGTAGATAATTTTGCTTCATGGAACCTCCACATAATTTTTCCCAAAAAAAATAATTAATCTATCAATTTCCTAGACGTAGCTATTAAGTGACCAAAATAGGAAAAAATAAATTAAAACAAATTAAACTACGTGCATGTATAGCTATTGGTTTTGCTTGCTTGGCTTTCTGGGACGAAGGAAATATTAGGAAATTACTCTCCTTGTTTCAAATTATAAAATATTTTTAGTTAAAATTATATATACCAATAAAATTTATTAAATATACTTTATAACTTTACTTTTTCAAGATAAAAATATAAATTTCTAAAAATATCTTTTATTTAACACTTTATTTATGAAAGAATATTAAAGAGAGAAAATATATGAAAGGAGTAATATTAAAAAAGTATCATTACTGAAACATTATTTTGTCAAAATATTTTATATTTTAAGATATATAATCTCTCCAAAAGTGTCTTCTAAT